GCCAGGGAAGAGAAGAATGTGCCTATCACCTTCTCAGCATCAATTCCAGGCATCTGTGAGCTGCAAATAAGCCAACTAGGCTGGCTCGTTTATTTACTCATTCATTCCTTCACTCATCTGTTCATTCATTCATTAATCCATTTTCCATTCAACCCACTTAACAGGAGGAACAGCCCTAAATACAAAGGCTCCCCATTGCCTGTAGGATAACCATCTGAACGCCTCACCAAGGCTACTTTTGCAGATCATCTGTCACTTTTCCTTGCACGTCCTTGCAGCTCAAGTCCAGGTCACAGGGCTCTTTTGCCTTCTTTATTTGATAAATGAGCATCAGTTGGCTTTAAAGCAAAGTTCCAGCATTCTCTTCCTAACTTCTCAGCAACCGTTCCCTCCTACCGCCAGAGCTAAGTGATGTTGTACCCACCACATTCCGTGGGCCTGTTTTCAGTACTCCACTAACTTGTGGGAATCCAAACCCCTCCCGGAGATCCCTTATCATCAGATGTTGGAAGGTTGTTGCAGTTAATTATGCACATCTGACCTGACTGTGATGGGAGACAGGGCCCTGAGACCTGGAGCACACGACGGAGCAAAGTCGTACGACAGGATGCAGTGGCCATAAGCCACCGTCACTATGCAACAGGCTGGATCAATCTGTTCGCATGTCTGTCTCCACCACGGTGCCATGGGCACAATTTTTATCTCGCTAATTGTGTATGCCTTGTCCCTCGCAGAACTGTTGGCACATAGTGGGCTCCCCATAAATTTCTGCTGAACTGATGCAAAAAAAATGAGTAAAGTATAAGCATGAATGGCTATAAGGCAAGAATATTAAGTGCTGTAAAGGTATCTCTTCAAAATAGGTGTCAGCCCTGGCCCAAGGATGTTGGAAGTCTTGGTCCCATGCATCTCTCATGGCACCCTTCCCTGGCTGATGTCCTACTTTACTGTTGGCATTTTTTAATTACAGAAGAAATCTACGGTTATTTCAGAAAAAAATAGAAAATTGGATAAGCAAAAGTAATTTGTAATCCCACTCCTCAGGAATAACAACTGTTTACATCTGCTTCCCCAGATATTTTTCTATGCAAAACATATACATTGGTGTGGGTGATTATCTTAGACAAAGTTAATCATGCCCCTTAAATAGAGATTAGGCAAACATGGAAATTTGTAAACCGCAAAGAAATAGCCTAGCCTAACGATAACCTTCTTTATAATTAGAGTTTCAAACAATAGGGTAAGCTGCTTTGGGACATGCTGGAGTCCCTGGATATATATATTTTTTTAAATGAGAAAATTCCTTGTTTGCATTTCGTAGGGGTGATTCATGCCTCTGATGATGGCTGGATTAGAGAATTTCTAGAGTCCGAGATTCTGATTCATTAGGAGAATTCTCCTGGATTCCACAGGGGACACATTTTTCTAAAAGTGTGTGCTGTGTTGAGATCCAGGATGGGTAGTATTCTGCTGTATTCTGCAGCCTTGTCTTAACCAGCCTAAAGCCCCAAAGCAGCCTCTCCGAGGTTAATCTTTGAACACTCTTAGGCTTACTTACACTTTTCAGGTCGACGGAGGAGTTTTTGTCCCACGATGTGTCCAGTAATGCCTAATGTAGTCGTTGTGCAATCAGCATTAAATTAGTTATAGGATAAAATGAAACAAATCTGGCGTTTTGAAAAGGGGGACTTTCCTACAAGGCTGACTTGAGGGAAAGAAAGCCAAAGAAGATTTCAACTCAAAAAGCAATTTGCTTTGCAAAAGGAAGTTGGAAAATTACAGCCCATCATACCTAATTACTGCACACATTTGCGTTTGAATGCAAGCTCTCCCTCCAAGGAGCTGTCTCCACAATCCTTCCACTTCACCTCTCAGCAGCCAGAATCCACTGCTGATGGCAAAACAGTCAACGGAACAACGTGATATTGTCCATTTCCTGACAGGGTTGCAGGAGGTACTGACAGATTGAGTGCTGTAGAAAGTCCTGTTCCAAGCAAAGTAATGGGCATGTGATTATGAAAAATAGGATGGAGGAGAATGTAGATATTCCCATGAAAGCTAAATGAACTAAGTGTTTCTCCCGCAAATGTTAAGGATTTGAAGGATATAGGTAGATATTCCCTCCTCCAAGAGATGGAGCTTAATCCCACCCCTTCTCCTCCAGCGTAGGCTACCCTTAGTGATTTTCTGCCAAAAAAAAAAAAAAAAAAAGAGTATGGAAAACAATCAATAGTAGCTTCACAGTGGGAGAAACTAGCAAATGCCACTTTACCCAAGTGAACCCAGTGATGACCTCATTGGTGATGTCATCATCTGTGATGTCATCTGGATATCATGCACTCTGATGGAGGATAGGAAGGGCACTCCTCTGAAGACCCATAACCCTAGTCTGATAATGAGAAAAAAGTTGGACTCACCCAAATGGGGAGTCATTTTAGAGGATACCTTTTTGGTACTCCTCACAACTGTCAAGGTCATGGGAAAAAAAGAAAGGCTGGGAAACTGGCAGAGACCAGAGCAGACTGGGGAGACTTGACAACTAAATGCAACGTAGTATCTGGGATGGGAACTTGGAGCAGAATGACAACATGAGTGGAAAAACTGGTGAAATCCAAGGAAGTATAGAGTTTAGTTAATAATAACGTACCAATCAATGTCAGTGTCTTTGTTTTGACAAATGTGCCATGCTATTGTAAGATGTTAACAATGGGAAACCAGGATTACGAGTAGCTTTGCAACTTTTCTGTCAATCCAAAATTACTCTAAATTTAAAAGTTTACCTAAGATTCTCAAAGATTTTCTTTTTTTCTGTGAAAATTTTTCTGCTATCCATTAATGGACCCAGTTTATGCCTCTGATTCTGACCTGTCAGGTGGTTTTAAATAAATTAGTATGTTCCTCATGAAAGGTGTCTATGCTCCCGATTATATGGCTCAAACACCAGACTTGTGAGTTGTGTTTCCGGAAAGTAAAAGCTTAGTGGGAGCATTCATCATTAACTGCTTGACAGCTGACCATATAGAGGCTCTGAAAACCAGAAGAGGGTCATAATGCTTACCCTAATTGTGTACAAAGTCACTCGTAACAGCCTGTGTAGTGGCAAGACACAATGATAATCACCCTAGGTAAAATGTGCATACATGCGGTGATGTTAAAACAGTAGACTTTATTTTGTGCAGGAATGAGGAAAGGGGGCTTTAGAATGAATTGGGTCAAACACCGCTCCCAAGTACGGTCATGCCTCTGCAGCATCTCTGAGTGAAGAAAGAGAACTTTGATTCTTAGTTATGGTGAATCTTGCGCTTAATTTATGTGATTGGTTGACCCCAAGAAGACAGGAGCCAAAACTTAAGATGGAATCAGTCATGGGGTGCCTGGTCAGTTAAATTAATCAGTCAGTTAAGCGGCCAACTCTTGATTTCAGTTCAGGTCATGATCTCAGGGTGTGAGATCGAGCCCTGGGTGGGGCTCTGTACTCAGCAGGGAGTCTGCTTGAGGGTTCTTGCTCCCTCCCTCTTCCTCTACCCTTCCCCATGAATAAATAAATAAATCTTAAAAAAAAAAAAAAAGGACAGAGTAGGTCAGAAACAATTCAAAAGGCTTTTAGAAGAGGTTTCCACCCTGGAATGGGGAGAGCCATGGCTAACCAAAAGAACCTGTTGCCCCTTTGGAAAGAATTTCCTGCTTCCTCATTGTCCATCTCTATTAACTTTGTTTCCAAAATGAAGCTTCTCCTGAGTAGACATTCCTTCTCCTCTCATACCTCTCCCTGATCTCCTATTCACTACTCTTATGTATTAAATTCAGTTTGGATTTGATCGTGATAACACACCAATAATTTTTGTCTCTTTTGTCTTGTTTTGCAGCTGGATTGAGAACTTCCATAATGGTGACACCCACTAAGCCCCCCTCATCCAGGGTTTAATGTATTAATGAGTATCACATAAGCTTAATAAACAATTGATTGAATGGATGGGTAGAATGACAGATAAATAGACTTTCTGTCAAGTTATTGCCTATGGAGGAAGTCATGACTCTTTGTACTTCTTGGGGATTTTCAAACAATAATTTTCAGTTCCTCCTCTTCAAACGAGATAGGGAGGTGTCCCTGGATCTCTGTGTTGGTGTCCCAGCCATGTCTTTAACTTTCATCCAAAGGATTGCAGTCCAAAGCAACTTTCATCACTATGACATTTATCTGAATTCCAGAAAGGAAAATCGAAACAAATTTGCACTCCTTAAGTGGGAGCATTGAATGGAGAGCTTGTAGAGTATCTCTTTAGTTTTTGGAATTCAGCCCTGGCAATTCGAGGAGAGTAGCCCGATGTCCTCTTTGTGGGTTATGTGATCCTACACAGCTGCAGGCACTTTTCTGGGCTATTAAAATTGTGACTTAACTGGCTAATTGCCAAACATTCAGGGTTTGGTTGCTGAATCTTTTAATAGACTATTTTTCCTCCCACTGTCCCATTGTAATCTCTGACCCTTGAAGACTTGATCCATAATGAAACTACCATCTCCACCCTGAGAAACTCTTTTTTTCTGTTACCTTTCCCATTTATTTAACCTCTCAACCCTCATTGATTTTATACCAGCCTGCTGACATTGATTTTCTGGAATCTTCTTGTTTCTTGGGCATGAACTATGAAAAAGACAAAATACCATCCATTTGTATTCAGTGTGGTCTTCAACTAAAAACTGTTTACCTTCTTTTACTCTCCCTCTACTTCATGAAATACAGTCTGGGTTCTTAAAGAACCTGGACGGAAGCCATGAACAAGAGGAATTCACATTAAGTAGGCACAGTGTCCTTGGTGGGGTTATGGGGTGACATCTGTACGTCTTTATGGCTCAAGTATGGGATGCTCACATTCTAAAGAGATATCCAGGATATTCATAAATAGAGGGTAGAGTCTGGATGAATTTAAGAATGCATTATACAGAAGTTCCTATTGGTGAGGGATGAGCCTTTTCTGGGAGAATGGTTTACAGAATGCCATCACGTGTTACATGTTACCTAATGATGATTAATTTTTGAACACCTTCATTTACTAAAGGAGATCAACAGAACCTGTAGTAGAGATACAGATGAAAAAATCACGTTATTAACCAAGTCTTTGGTCTTTGGATGATCTGGTTATGAATGTATAGGATATCTGGAAAGATTAATAAGATGACAAACTTATTTCCAAACTCCTTTCTGTTTAGCAGTTGCATTACGGTTATAATTAATATAACAAATCTTGCAAGGAATTCTCATTGCAGCTGGCCAATAACACTGAGGTTCTTGGATGTATTTGGTTGGAAATACTTTCCTTTGAAGATGAGAATTACTGGAATGGAAATCATGGTTAAGTTTTCTCAGAGGTGCTTGGTATGGACCAGCTGGTCTCAGTGTCATGACAAGGGTTGAAATGCTTCTGATTTATGCTTCATGAGATAAAGGCATACTATCTAGAGGAGATGAGTAATTTCTTTTCGTAGTAACTTAAAGCTAAGCATTTGCAAGGTTTGTTCTGAGATGCTCACCACCAATTTGGCCTTCAAACAAGGAAATTACAATAGAGATTCTTCGACCTTAACTACAGACCTTAGCTGCTGATGACTATGTTTATGTGAGATAAGTCACCCAGAAGCATAAGGTCTCTTTGTGTTTTCAACCTCAGCCATAGGTTGTATGATATACTGACTCCCTCTTGTTACTGTTTGAATTTTTTCATATATAATATTGTGCTTATCATTGAGGTTAAAGCCTTGGTTTCTCCTGAAAGGTTTAATCAATGCCAACATAAATCTTTCATGAATGGGGTGGGTTCTCATACGGGAAAGAAGAATTTGGAAAATATCCTTAGATTGCAGGATAGTAAATCCAATGTCTCCTGATTTTACTGACTTTGGCCTATAGTTTGGTGACTGTAGACATAATTGAGGGTAACCCCAGGTAGCATGGAAAGGTGGCATATACTAGAAGGAGACCTACCAAAGGAAGGTGGGAGATCATACCTCTTGGGAAACCTTAGTGGGAGAGAAAGAAACTATAGTATGTTAGAGCTAAACTAGCCATCTACCAAACCCATTTTCTCTTCTTGTAACACAAAAGCTGGAGTCATGGTAAAGTTTGTGTCCTAGTTCTATAATTTACTATGTCAGTAGTTTTGGTAGGAAGGTGAATCCTCAGGAGCAGACCATCTCTGAGTTGCACAGCTGTTCTCAATAAAGTGCTCTCTCAACTTCTCCCCCTAACCTAACCTTAAAATATTTGGGTCTATTTTATTAATGGAGGCAAGAAGTTCCATATAGGTTATGCTAACTCATCCATATGACCAAAATCTATTAATCTTACCATAACCATACATTAGTCAAGAAAACACTTCTTAGGGGCACCTGGGTGGCTCAGTGGGTTAAAGCCTCTGCCTTCAGCTCAGGTCATGATCTCAGGGTCCTGGGATCGAGCCCTGCATTGGGCTCTCCACTCAGCAGGGAGCCTGCTTCCTCCTCTCTCTCTGACTACTTGTGACCTCTCTCTCTCTCTCTGTCAAATAAATAAAAAAAAATCTTTAAAAAAAAAAGAAAACACTTCTTAGACTGAGAGGTCTGTGACAACCAAGACTTTACTGACTTGTTTACAATGCATCCCCAGTTCCTTTACTACCCACCCAATACATACCTTCCACTTACATCAACTCCGTGTTTTCAATAACCGAGTCTATCATGGGTAACTCATGAAGAATGTTGGAAATAAAACAAAGGAGAATCCTAGTCTGTACCTTCTAGAATGAGCTGGATGTTCTTTAGTGAAACAGAACCAATCACTATAGAGGGTGGGTGAACTAATAATCCTCCCAAAATAAAAAGATGTAATGTCTCATGCTAACCAAGGTCACACCCTTAATTAATTCTTGGTTGTTGATTTTTTTTCAAGTAGTTGAGTAGATGGTAGACATCACCGTAGAATGAGATTTGCTAAATTCAACAAGTTGTTATGTAACCCTGTATGTGTATCTGATTGACCATATATCTGATCTAAATATCTATGGCTGGTTCTGAGTGAAAGTAGAAACCAGGAAACTGTCTGGGAGAAGTAGTTTATGGGATGACTGAAAGGATCCAGTTGCAAGAATATCTCTCTGACTTGGCTTTCACTGATCCATGAAATGAAGAGAACTTTATTCTTTTGATTTATGTCATTATCCTCATTAGGTATCCTGGGAGGGTTACCATGTAACATAGGAATTAGTCATTAATGTATTAGTCTAGTTCTTGTCCAGGGCCAGTTTTGCATTTGGTAGTGTCTATAGACATTTTTGGTTGTCACAGGTCAGGGTAGGGTGGGCTAGACACTGGCATCCATTGGGGAGAAACCAGGGATACTGCTAAACATCTTACAATGCATGGGATAGCACATCCCCCAACCACGCAAATAATTATCTGGCCCCAAATATCAATAGTGTTGAGGTACAGATGCTGGTCAGAAGCCCAAGTACAAACTAAGTCATTGATAGATCCTCCCGAGGAGATAGCAGAGTGGAGGTTTTAAGAGAGGGTGGGCAAGGTAGACAGAAAGGCATTAATAGAAAATTTGGAAAGCTGGAAGCTGAATGCTGGAATATGCCTTAGAGGCTACTGGCCAACATCTGTGAACTGAAAGGAAAATAATTACTCCTTCCTGGGAAATGTGCCAAATGTAGGCTCTAATTTTAGAATGTCAGAGTGTTACCTTACTTGAGAAAGGTCAGGAGAGGTCTCTTGGTGGGGGTAAGAAGAGGGCTCATTGACCTGAAGTCAACACTGACCTCTTTAATGTGTCTCTCACTCTACCTATTCTGGATCCCAGGGGATACAATTAGGAGAGCTTTATGCTCTACCTTGGATCACTGAGGGCACACCTGTCCCCAGAGATTCTTGGAGAACTTTCAAGCAGATGAACACACATCACCATTCTCCTCTCATTCCTCTTTTCAGAGTCTGACCCATTAAATAACCACCACTGAACCCACAATACCCAAAGTAGAAAGTTGGTGTCCTACCATGAGGTCCTTCTACTGACCCCCCGTCTGACATCACTGAATGCCACAGGATCCTGGAACTGGAAGGGGCTCGAGAGGTCATTACTTTTGATTCTCTTAGTTGAATAATGAGGAAAGCAAGTAGGGGTCAGAGAAGGGAGGTTATTTGCTTAAAGTCATAAGGGAAAAATTGGGTTTGCATCAGATTCACCGAATCCAAGTCTCATGTTTTCTCTACCCAGTTATGTTGTCTTTTGCAAAAAAGCATTAAGAGAGAAGCTCAGTAAAATGTTTGTGATATTTTGTAGTTTAAATGGTTGGTTTAGATCCTTTGTTTTTTTCTTTGTTGTCATGCATTTCAAATTCAGGTTTTAAAAATCAAGTTTTCAATGTTTTTTATTGAATTGATAGTTGGTTTTTTTTTTTTTAAAGATTTATTTATTTATTCTAGAGAAGGAGAGAAAGTGTGGGAACTGGGGCAGAAGGAGAGGGAGAGAGTCTCAAGCAGACTCTGCTGAGCATGGAGCCTGATTAGGAACTCAATCTCATGACCCTGAGATCATAACCAGAACCAAAACCAAGACCGAACTGACTGCCACCCAGGCTCCCTGTTGACAGGTTTTTGAGATTGGTGTGCATTTGTAGTTACTATTGATGTGTCAAAAATTATCCCAACTTCAGTGGCTCAAAATAACCATTTCGTTTTTCTCACCATTTTGAAAGGACTCAGCAGGGCAACTCTTAATTAGTGTCTCTTGTGTGATGGCCTTGGAAGTTGACGGGGGCTGCAATGATCTGAACATTCAACCCATCCAGACATCCAAAATTGCTCCTTCTCATAGTTCACAGCTGATGCCATGTGATCCCAGCTTTGTTGAGAGCTTAACTGGGGCTCTCTACCCACCACACCGTATGGGTTTTCCCATATCGCCTGGGCTTCCTTACAGCATGGCTGTCTTAGAGAAGTCAGTGCTCTCACATCGGTGGCTCAGGACTCCAGAGGTCACTGTGCCAGGGGCCTGGACATGAACTGTATTGGTTTTTATGGTTCCACCTTGGTAGTTAGTCCTACAGTCTACATTCTATTTGGTGTTAAGAGAGTCCCTTGGCCAAGATTCAAGGTTGTCATTCCATGTCTTGGTGGTGGGTTGTGACAAAGTATTTGCAGACATGTTTTAAAATTGTCACAGTTTGGTTTCTAGAATTGAAGAGTTTTTCACTAAAGAAACATTAATTTAGTTACTTCAGCATGTCCTAATTTTTTTTTTTTTTTTTTTTTTTGGCAAACTTACTAGCTTTTGAAACTCAATTCAGAAAACGTGAGGAAAAGTTACTCTTGTAGAAATTGTTCAATGTCTTTCAGCCTCAGTCTCTTCCTCAGTGCAGTAGGGAGAGGGGTACCTAAATTGTAAGATGGTTTTGAGGATTAAGCAGCAAGTGGTGTCTGAAACATAGTGGACACTTAACAGTTATAATCATAGTATTGTTGGCTCTATGGGTTGCCAATTCATACCCTGATGCCTATGTCTTACTCTCAAACTGTCTAGACTATCTCTGAAAACCTGCTCTCCCAGAGTGGGTTGGGGAAGGCCATTACCTGCTGGGTTAGGGAACACTCAAGTGTTGGAGCAAGGCTATGAGGTAACAGGGCTTCCTAAAAATGGGAGACACCGTAAGAGACCAGAATCAACGTTTTTTTGCTTCATAGTTGTGCTTTAGACTACATTGCTTGGAAAATGCCGTCTTCTTGGTGTTTTTGGAAACTGGTGGTCTGGTGTCCATGCAGAGGCAGGCCTGAGCCAGCCCGTCCTGGGTGCTCTTAATCTTTCACGTGTGTTTCGGAGGTGGATGGGTTCAGGGATTAAGGCAGTGAGTGGCAGCTGCTGGCTGAACAAGAAGGCAGCAACTCACCTCCTCCACGTTGGTGCCAAGCCTTGGGTGGGCTGGGACCTGCAAGTGCTATTTGCTTGCTGTGTTCAGATGCATTCAGAAGAGCCAAACACTATATGGCACTTCTTTTTAGTAACCCTGAATTCTAATTTGCAAGTTTCATGCTGTAATTTGTCATCTGTGTTTGGAGAGACCTCACAGGCCTCCTAGACGTAGAGATGGAACCTGCTTTCCAGTGAGTGTCATTTAAAAGAAATCAGAGACCATTTCAGGGCTGCGAGGCTGATGATTACTGTCATTATTACTATGACTCGAAGTCTTCACCATCTACGGGGTGGCGGCAAGTGTGCCTGGCGTTGACAAAGCACAGGATTCCAAACAAGGTCTTCCCAGAGGACACACCCTCAGCCTCTTTGAGTGTTTTGTTTATCATCGCCTTCTCCCCAGTTAAGAGTGTTCTGCTGCATTGAGACCATGGTGAAGAGGGTGGAAGATTGATCCAAGAAGTTGCATCTCAAAGGTTCTTCAGATCTATTTTTAGGTTCTTCACTTTTTTGGGGCAGCGTCATGGCGCATATTTATTTACCAGTGGTTTATTGAGCATGTGTTGTGACCAATACAAAGAGCTAAACATTTTACACCCACTTTGGTACTTGTAACCCAACTGTACCCATGAGCTAGGTACAAGGATTAGTCCTGGGGCACCTGGGTGGCTCAGTTGTTAAGTGTCTGCCTTTGGGTCTTGGGATTGCATCCCACATCAGGCTCCCTGCTCTGCTGGAAGCCCGCTTCTCCCTCTCCCACTCCCACTGCTTCGTTGCTTCTCTTGCTGTGTCTCTCTCTGTCAAATAAATAAAATCTTTAAAAAGAAAAAAAAGGGACATTAGTCCCATAATGAGAGTGAGAAAATGAAATCTTCAAGTGATTATGGTCACATAGGTTTATCGCAATTAAACGTACATGCTTTGGGATTCTTGGGTGGCTCAGTTGGTTAAGCATCTGCCTGTGGCTCAGGTCATGATCCCAGGGTTCTGAGATCAAGTCCTGCCACTGGGCTCCTTGCTCAGCAAGGAGCCTGCTTCTCCCTCTGCCTGCTACTCTGCCAGCTTATGCTCTCTCTCTCTCTCGCTCTCTGACAAATAAATAAAATCTTTAAAAAAAGGACATGCTTTTATAATAGGTACGAAGTCTGCCCACCTGGAGCTGTCAGAGAAAGGGAAAAGACTTATAGGGCTTTGGGTGCCCATGAGAACACAGGGCACGAGTGTGTGTGAATGTGTGCAGGGACTAGCTAGGGTTAAGAGGTGAAGGCTGAAACAGGCTTCTTTGGTCAAAATGGTTCTCTTAAGGTGATGGAAAAAAAAGTACATCCTTTTAAACTCCTCTCCCTTTTCCCTACTCCAGCCTCATGGGCTGTCTTCATGTCCCCTGCCTTTGCCATGTTTCTTCCAGCCACTGGACTCTGTATGCCCCTCTCCTTTAGCTCTATTTCACCCTGAGCTTCCTTCCCTCCCATCTTCACCTAGTTAATTCCTGCTTATTCTTTAGTTCTTGGCCTTATTGTGACTTCTTAAGGGAATCATTTTCTGACTCATGTCAAATAAGCTTATTTTACAAGACAATACAAAACCTAGACACTTATCCCTAGTCTCAATTGTACACCCCTTTGGGTGACTACTTAGGTAATACCTGCTGCTCTAACTAGCTTGAGAGCCTCAGGAGGACAGGGGTTGAGCATTTTTATGCTACCTGTGGTGTTCTGGTGCCTCATACAGTGTTTGATACACAGTAAGTTCTCAACAACGTCTGTCAACTGAAT